TGTTTGTTTGTTTTTTTATCCTCACCCGAGGACATTTTTCCATTTTTTGTTCAGGTAGAGTGGAAGGGAGAGAGAGGGAAACATCGACATGAAAGGGACACATCGAGTGGCTGCCACCCTCACGACCGACCAGGGCCGGGGACAAACTGCAACCGAGGTACGTGCCCTTAGCGGGAACCGAACCCGGGTCTCTCAGGACCGCAGGCCGACGCTCTAACCGCTGAGCCAAACCAGCCAGGGCCAAGAGGGCTTTTTAAGAGTAAATTTTAAGAATGAACCTTGAGCCCTGACCGGTTTGGGTCAGCGGTTAGAGCGTCAGCCTGAGGACCAGACAGTCACGGGTTCGATTTCTGGTCAAAGGCACGTACCCTGGTTGCGGTTAGGACCTTGGCCCTGGTGTGGGTTGTGTGGGAGGCAACCAAGGGATGTGTCTTGATTACATAGATGTTTCTCTCTCCCTCCCACTCTATCTGAAGATGGAGAGAATATCCTCGGGTAAAAATTAAAAAAAAAAAAAAAAAGAATGAAGCTTGAGTAAGGCAAAAAGTTCCTTTCTTGAAACAAAATAGGGTATATTTTAATCCATTTCACAGGCGGTAATGAAATAGAAAGTCGGACGAAGCTATTTAAGGGGCTGGTCCTTTGAGCCGTCTTTGGAACAGCTCCTTCTTCGCGAAAGGAAATGCTGGGACAGTCAGCCATTCGCCTTCCGTCGTAGATAACACGTGTACATGTCTGTAATTGGCCAGAATGCGGAACTGCCTTTGGCTCACCTAATAAGCCTCCGTCGAGGGCCTATGGCACAGCTCCCTTCGATTTCCAGAGCAAAACGGGAAGCGATCGGGCAGCAAGACTCTCCCATCTGGCAAAGGAACGGGCCTGTTCGTGGGCGCACACGCGTGTTCGCGTAGCTGGGCTGCACTCGGCGTGAGAGACAGGTGCGAAGAACCCAAACAGTGCCCTGGCCAGTTTGGATCAGCGGTTAGAGCATCAGCCTACGGTCCAGAGAGACCCAGGTTCGGTTCCCGCTAAGGGCACGTACCTCGGTTGCAGTTTGTCCCCGGCCCTGGTTGGGTCGTGCAGGAGGCAGCCCCTCCATGTGTCCCTTTCACATCAATGTTTCTCTCTCTCTCCCTCTCACTCTATCTGAACAAAAAATGGAAAAATGTCCTTGGGTGAGGATAAAAAAAAAAGAATCCAAACAGCCCAAAGTGGCTTCCTGAGCGCTCCCTCCTGTGACACTCAGCAATCACCATGGCTGGCACTGAGAAAGCGTCGAACGGGCAGTGGTGGGTACGCAACCTGAAGCCTGTGCCCCTTCTGCCATTTCAAAAAAAGGAATCACTGAAAACAGCTTTTTTTTTTTTTTGCTGATGGTGGCAGTTTGTGTTGTCCATTATCATTTTATTTATTCTTTTTTCATATCGCCCATGCTCCCACCCTCTACCTTTGTCAACCATCAGCTTGTTCTATGTCCATGGGTCTGTGTCTATTTTGTTTGGTTTACTCATGTGTGCTATTTTCCGAAATTTCACTATACGTGAAATTATAAGTATGTGTCTTTCTCTGTCTGACTTATTTCACTTACCACGAACACCCTCTAGGTCCATCCACGCTGTCACAAATGGTAAGTTTCCTTCTTTTCTGGCCGAGTCGTATTCCCTTGAGTATTTGTACCATTTTTCCTTTAAGGGCTCGTCCGCCAGGACCCCTAGGTGGCTCCCGCAGCTTGCTGTTGTAAGTGACGCTGCAGGGAACAGAGGGTGCAGCCAGAGCGGCTCTGGACCCGCGTTGGGCCCTTTTCCTCTGAGTTTCTGGGCCAGACCTGCTCCTGGGAGCCAATGAGAAGGGAAGGCTCTCTGGACAGACAGAGGCCAGCGCAGGAAGCAGGGGGACACCTCAGGTTCCACTGCTGCAGGTGGAAAGAGAGACAGTTAACCATTCCCAAAGGAGGTTTGAGGAATGTCGGACAGGTTTCATGGTGCACAAGCTCTGAGAGGCTCACCCCCGTTTCATCGCCCGCACCCTTAGAAAGGCCTGCGTCACCCTGCAGCAGCATGTTTTGCTTAGTTTCCACCTGCAAAGTCGACAGCTCCCCTGGGAGGGAGAGCCCACCGACGGCTGGTGGTGATCGTTGGATCGGTGAAGCTAGAAGGCACAGCGCCTGCCTTGCGTAAGCCGAGAAGGCGTGGCAAAGGTCGCAGTCACTGTACAACTGTACTTTCTAAAGAAGCGGACGTTTTACTACTAAACACGTCTCTTGCAATAGGACAGGAGCCCTGGGCACCCGGATGTGGAGGCGTGACGTGAACCCTATTTATTGAGAGCCTCCATCATTGTGTCCTGGGATTTTGAATCTACGACTTAAGCATCATCGTGCCTGGCACAGGTCGGGGTGTCTGAGAGTGTGCCCTGCGTAACCACTGCTCTAGGGAGGTTCTTCCTTAGGGTCATCACCCCTGTGTCCCATTTTGATGAGCAGGGTTGGTGTTCTGCTTGGCCATTTGCTGCCTGTTTGCTTGTGGGAACATCATTCAATTTCTTTGAGCCTCAGTTCTAAGGCTCTGGAGTAATAAATAACATCTGTTCATGAGGATTAGCTGAGCTAGTTTATGTGTACACCCACGAACTATTTAAGAGCTACCCAAATGGAATTGCTTTTATTATTGGAGTCATACAGACAACTGAGAAATATCCCTCTTTGCTGCCTGGGAGAGGAGACAGACAGAGGAGGGAGTCCAACGTCACCGAAAGAATGTCGGTCTCTGTCTTTGTCTTAGTAATGACTGACTGCATTGTAAAGTCAGTCACAGGTAACTTTGTCCTCGCCACCTGCCTGAGGCTGAACTTGCCCTGACCTCTCTTAGCTCAGCAGGTACCAGCTGGGATGCTCACTCCCTGCACCTTTCAGACTGGATGTTTCCGGTCCTTTGCTCTCCATCCTTTGTCTGCTGCTGTAAGAGGCTTAGGGTTAGCCAGAAGGGAAAGAGCCTCCTGTCCTAAGGGTGATGACACAACAGGGACCCACCCAGCAACAGGTTGGCTGCGAGCTGTTTTCCCAGACTGGTGCCGGCTCCTCTCTGTTCCCCTTTCAGAACGTCTAGCTGGGTTTACAGAAAGTTTTCACCTCGGCACTCATGGAGCACTTCGCCTAACCCCTTCCGGTCTTCACCACATTCTCGTATTCTTGTGAAAGCCCAGCTGTATGGAGATGTAATTCACATACCATAAAAGTCACCCTATAAAGTACAAGAAGTGATTTTTACTATTTTCATGGAGCTGTACAAACATCACCCCAATCCAATTTTAGAATATTTTCCTTACCCCTAAAAGAAACCCCGTACCCTTTGGAAGTCACCCCCCACCCCTTCCCTCTGCTCCCAGCCCCTGGCGACCACCAATTTACTTTCTGCCTCTATGGATTTGCCTTTTCTGGACATTGCATGTAAATGGAATAATATTTAGCCTTTTGTGACTGGTTTCTTGAACTTAGCATAATGTTTCCATGATTCATCCACATTGTGACATGTGTTAGAACTTCATTGCTTTTACGTTTGAATAATAATAGGCCATTGTATAGACATACATCTGGTTTACCCCTTCATCAGCTAATGACCATTTGGGCTATTTCCACTCTTGAGCTATTATGAAGAATGATGCTATGAACCTTCGTGTACAGGTTTTTGTGTGGACACATTTTTGGTTCTGTCGGGTCGGTGCCTAGGAGAGGATGTGCTGAGTCCTGCGGTAGCTTTCTGGTGAACTGTTCGAGGAACAGCCAAACTGTTTCTCCAAAGTGGCTGCACCAACTCCCACTCCTACCAGCAATGTAGGACGGTCCCAATTTCTCCACATCCCCGCATCACATTCTGTTTTATGAATGGTCTGCCTGCCTATGACCACGCCCACCGGGGTTCAGCTTCCAGAGGACAGAACTGGCCTAAGATGGTCACAGTAGCCACCAAAGCACACGGTCTGAATACATCTCGGCTGTTAGCTGAATGCACGATTTATTATGATCAGTCCCCGCTCCTAACGGGAGGGTAAGGAGAGAACACGGGTCTAGGTTCACCTCTTCCAGAAAACCTCGTGCACACACAGGCAGCCCCTATTGGGCCCAACTGGAGTCTCACCCAAAGGACCCGCTGGCTACCCGGCCCAGCACTGAGCGGCAAAGCCGAGACTCAGGCCCAGGTCCTCAGTGTCCACCCGTCCCGGGGGCAGGAACTCCGGGCGCCGTGCAGGGAGGCAGGGGCACGTAGACGAGGACTCCGCCTCCCCATGAGCTCCCCAAAGGCGAGGACCGACGTTCTGGTCTGTCCTCCTGCACCCAGGACCCGCGGTGAGCCGCACCCTCACTCTGATTCTGTAACTTTCAGCCCGGACACGAGGACTGGCGCTGGAACGTCAAGGGAAGGCTGTGGTCACGGGCTAGCTCGCTCCTTATTTGCAGCTCCCTGCAGGAGCACGCGGTGAGCAGCCGACCACCGGCCCGCGGCACGGAGCCACGGCCTGGCCTGGACCTCACACAGCTCCAGCAGCTGGCCCGCGTGCTTCCACACGTCACCGCGTGGGAACGCACCCAGTTACCGGCCGGTGCCCAGGGCCGTTCCCGGCGCCGGGCGGAGGGCACCGGCTGCTGGGAAAGCGGAACTGGCTAGAGAGGCCTTTGCCCCTAACCAACATGGCTGCCGGCGGCGTCAGGCTTCAGGGCAGGATGATGGTCACGTGAAGAGAAACTCGCTCTCTTATTGGCCTTCCCTCCTGGGAGGGCGGGACACAGTAACAGCCGGTCCAGCCTTAAAGGGCCAGCTGCTAAAGCCGCCGGAGCTCCGCCTTCGAGGGCTGGGCGGCGGGCCGGGCTGGCGCGCGGGGGCCGCGTCTGCCGGAGCCGTGGTGACTGCCGCCGGCTGCGGCGCGACCGCGAGGGGGTTAACTGCGGGGCGGCGGACCCGAGAGCGCGAGCCGGGCGCCGCGGACGGGGGCGCGCGGGCGCCGGGATGGAGGACGGCGTGGCCGGGCCCCGGCTCGGAGAGGCGGCCCAGGCGGCCCAGGCGCGAGCACGGCCCGGGGTGGCGCTGCGGCCCTTCGCGCCGTTCTCGGGGGCGGCCGCCGTGGACCAGGGCGGCGACGACTGGAGCTTCATCGACTGCGAGATGGAGGAGGTGGACCTGCAGGACCTGCCCAGCGCCGCCATCGCCTGCCACCTGGACCCGCGCGTGTTCGTGGACGGCCTGTGCCGGGTGAGCGCGGGCGCGCGGGCCGTGGGGCGGAGGGCGGACACCTGTTGCCGGAGGAGGCGGTGCGGGTCCCGGCCGGCGCGGGGCGGGGAGGGGACCCCCGGGACGCCGCGACACCCCTGGCCTACCTGTCGCAGTTCCCTCTTGTCCCGGCTGGGGTGGGGTCGCGCCCCAGGGTCCCGGGTCCCTGAGCACCTGCCGGGCCGCGCGCACAGCCCGCCCAGCAGGTTTTGTGCGCCTGGCGGGGACCCGGGCAGGTCACCGCCTTCGCCTCCCAGCGACGCCCCTGCTCCGGGTGTCCACTCGGGCGGCGGGGCAATGGGCACCCCAAGTGGCCGGGCAGCTCGTGCCGTCGCCCTACACTCACTGGTGAGCGGAGGGGTCACCCCACTCACAGGACTCGCGCGGCGTGACCCAGTGTTTCCACCTGCACTCGTGGGAGAGGAGCCAGGGCTGGTGAGCGTCGCGGTTGCTCACTGCCCTGCGGGCGGCCAGTTTGGGTTGAATGGTGTTGGAGGAAGGGGCTCACTCTCCAGGCCTGGGGGACCTTTACTCCGGAATCTGCCCCCTGGAAGAGTGACGGGCGGCCCTCAGGAGCACTCAGAACGCGGCGGGGGGTGAGGGGGCAGGTATGAGTCATGGGGGGGTGTATTTCGGATCTGCAGTTGGTGTGCAGAAGGAGACCTGCACATGTAGGTGTGGCGGAGTGAAGCCTTCCTGGGAGGTGCCCTAGGCGGAGAGCAGCCGGCAGAACAGCAGCGCGTTGCTCGCCTGGCTGGGCCCTCCCCGCTCTGTCCGCCGTCAGAGGGCTGCAGCCCGGAGCAGCGCCGGGAGGGAGATGTGTGCTGGGGCCCCATTTGATCATAATGTATATGCCATGTACTTTCAGGAAGGGTTTACAAGGGCTGTGAGCTTAGGTAAGCTGCTGTGCACGCCTGCTAATGCAACAGTTGTCACAAATACAGGGTCTTACTCACTCTGAAACCTTCCTAGGCCAGTGTCTAGCCAGCATTTCCAGTCTCTCTCGGGGTCCGAGGCTGTGTTTCCAGTGGAGCAGGGTCAGGTCACCTAAGGCTGCACTTATTTGCATGGGTGTCGTCTAGCAAGTCACACTTCACATCCTTTCCGGGAGGTGCTGCGCACACCCCTGACATGGCTGTGTGCGGAACTGTGCCCACTGTGCTTGCTGTTCGCCCTAACAAACGTTTACTGCGACTCTGCTATGGGCCAAGCACTGTTCTAGGCTCTGAGGACACAGCAGCAAAGAAAATAGCATTCCCACCTGCAGGGCTGGATTTTTGTTGGGGGAAACAGACGTACAAAAAAAATCAAGTATGTCTGGAGTTGATGGTGCCAAAGGAAGAAAGTTAAGACTCAGAGGTGGGGTTGGTGGGGTGGTGAGGGTGGTGGGGGTGGAGGTCTGGCAGGGCAAGGAGACTGCTGTTCTATGCAAGATAATCGGGGAAGGTCCTACTAATGAGGTGACGTGTTGAGCAGAGACAGTGGCTGGTATTCATTCATCCCTTGAGTCATTTATTCTTTCGCTAGTTATCGAATGTGCACTGTGTTCCAGGCATTGTTTTAGGCCCAGCGGGTGGAATGGGGACACAGTGAGTTTCCTGGGTGCGTTCTAGGGGTTGAGGAGAGGAGACACAGCAGAAAGACGGAAGAGGACACAGCACGCTCAGGTAGTGGTGAGTGCAGTGGAGAAAATTGAGCAGGTCACGTGCTGGCGAGTGACCAGGGCTGGGCCAGGGAGGGTGGGGTGGTGCCGGTCGGGCCCTATCAGGGACCCTGCGCTGGTCCTCAGGGGTAGGATCAAGGAATCGACTGGGGGTGTTGCTGGAGCACCAGGAGACGGCCGGCCTGGCAAGAGCTGAGATGTGAAGGTGTAGCCCCGAGATACGGAGCAGGGACAGGCAGGAAGGGACACCCCGACTTGGCCCTGGATGGCACTGAGACGCGGGGCAGGGACAGGCAGGAAGGGACACCCCGACTTGGCCCTGGATGGTACTGAGACGCAGAGCAGGGACAGGCAGGAAGGGACACCCCGACTTGGCCCTGGATGGTACTGAGACTCGGAGCAGGGACAGGCAGGAAGGGACACCCCGACTTGGCCCTGGATGGTACTGAGACTCGGAGCAGGGACAGGCAGGAAGGGACACCCCGACTTGGCCCTGGATGGCACTGAGATGCTGAGCAGGGACAGGCAGGAAGGGACACCCCGACTTGGCCCTGGATGGTACTGAGACGCGGAGCAGGGACAGGCAGGAAGGGACACCCCGACTTGGCCCTGGCTTCTGAACCCAGCTGGTAGTGAGGAGGTCAAGCAATACAGTCCACAAGTGGGATCAGCCTTCCAGGCCCCAGGGAGGGGTGCAGAGGCTCTGGGGACAGTACAGGGAGAGAGGACTTGCCAGAGGGTCAGCATGAGGCCACTGGAGCGAGGGCCCAGGAGGCCTCTGCGCTGCTTGGACTCGGCTGGCGGAGCAGCTCTTAGTGTGGACTTCGTGTGTCTGGCACCCAGGCAGAACGAACAGAGACACAAAGGGTCCTGGGCGAGGATGATCTGAGTGTATTCAGGGGACAGGAAGGGGCCCTCCTGGCTGGGGATGGAGTGAGAGGGGAAGGGCGGTGGCAGCTGAGGCTGGAGGCAGCCAGGGACCTGGTCCATGGAGAGCCTTAGAGGCCTCGTGGGGATTCCGAAGTTACTCTCTTTCGGGAAGGGAGGGGTGGCAAGAGAGGAAGCAAGGAGACTGTTGGGGGCTCTGGCTGTTGCCAGGGGACGCTCTGAAGGGGATGGGACTCAGGTGGCGATGCTGGAGGTGCAGCAAAGGACAGTGGTCCACCCGAGCCTTCCTCTCCATCCGGAGGGCCAGGGCTTCCTGGTGGGGCAGGGACCTTTGTGCACTGGCTGCCCGTCCAGAGCGCCCTGCGAGATGTAAAATAAAGACTCAAACCACTGGCCTGAGGGCGCCAGTCCCTGGTCAGTCCCTGACGGCAGATGCTCTGCCCTGCACTGAGAGCAGAAGTCACGAGGGCCGTGGGCAGGCCTTCCGGAAGAGCGCTGCCCACGTGCCGGGACCACGCCGGGTGGGAAGATGTGGCAGCCGAGGCTCCAGCCAGACGGCACTGGGCTCTTCCTGAAGGCTGGCCTCACCTTTGGGTGGTGCAGTGAACATGTGTCAGCCTCAGGCGAGCGGCGCTGCCCCTCGTGGAGGCTACAGAGTCCCTGCCGGTGTCTGCCCAGCCCCTCCTCGCCCGTCAGGGTTGCCGGGCCAAAGTACCGCCGCAGAAGGTATCTCTCACAGCCCTGGAGGCCAGCATGGTGGAGGAGGGCCTTCCTCCGCGGGCAGACTCTCACCTCTTCCTGGGTCCTCACCGGTGGAAGGAAGGAGGGGTCTGTGACGGGCAGCTCTAGTATGAGGGCACTGAGCCACCTTGAGGGCTCTGCCCCATGACCTGATCGTGTCCCAAATACCATCATCTTTGGGGGTTAGGATGTTTGCATGTGAAGTTTGCGGGAGCACGAACACCCAGATTGTGGTAGATGGTGTGAAGGAAAGACGGGGTCAAGCTCTCTTACCTACGTCCATGTTCCCTGAACCTCAGTCTGAAAGGACAGAGATCGACCTGAACTGCCAGTTCACTTGGGAATCGACCTCAGGAGCTGTTTCCTCGCCGGACAGCTGGGGTCTGATCTGTGAAGTTTGTTTTTGTCAGCTGGGTCATTGTTACTTGTAGATAACTTTTAATGACTACGGTCGTCAAATGTTCATCTAAAAAATAACTGAAGCTGTAATGCCATTAATTTCAAGTGCACAGTTACAAATGAAGACTATTATTAAAATGAGATACTTGGTGGCACGCAGATATTTGCCTGCACACGTGTGACTACTCTTCCGTGCCCGTCTTCCTTGTCACTGAGAAAGCAAAGCGGTGTTTCCCCCTTGCTCCCACGAGCTCTGGGCCGTGGGCCGCGGGCCGCCTGTGTGCCCTGGGAGGAGGGCTACTCGGTCGTCACCAAGCTAACCGACACTTAGGAGTTCTCGGGAAATATTCTAGTTTCCACGCGGCAGCCGCCGTTCCCCACCGCAGTGGAAGTGGCTCCCGTTTTCCTGTTGCTGAGACACGAATGTACACGTGATTGAGAGAACTTAGCCTGGAGGCTGCCAGTAAGTGCGAGTCACAAACAGACTGCCTCCTCTGGACAGCAGTCTCCCCTTTCTGGGAACCAGTGCCCACTGGAGACCTGCGATTCTTCCATGACTTCCTTAGACGTCAGGACGTGTCCGCATAGGCATGCAAGCAGGTTGGGGGTGGCTTTCAATGTCTGTGTCGGTGGAGACCCCCGAGCAGTCTGAAACACGCCCAAGCCCAGGCCACTCCGACCATTCCAGCCTCAGGGACGGGGGGCATCAGGAAAGCATCCCCCGGAAAGTTCCCCCAGGAGATTCTAACTGGGAGTCAGCTTGGGGACTGTCATCCTAGCCACAAGGGGTTTTCCCTGACCAGAGTCATTGTGTCATGAAAAGATCGTTGAATAATTGATCCCTGGGTGCCACCTTCAGCCGGATCCGTTCCTGGGTCTGCTCACTGGTGGTGGGAGACCTGTGGCCAGAGGCAGGCCGATTGGCTCCCAGCCTGTGCGCTCGAGCTGGAGGGCAGGTGACACCTGAGATCAGAGCCTTGTCTTTGACGTGGGGCTGCCGCCATGGCCTGGACCCATCCTCTCGGGCTGCTGCTCCCTCCGCCCCGGTGTCGGCCGGGCCCTGTCCTGGGGTCAGGACACCCTGCGGCAGTCTGATGGCGGAGATGGTTGTGAGATCCCCGGGCACCGCTGGTCCACAGCTTCGCTCATGAGGTCGGATGTGTGTGGCTGTGTTCCCGACTCTCGTCCGTCTGTGGCAGCGGGTGTCAGATGTGACGTCCGGCAGGAGAGACAGCCGGGTTCTAGTTCAGTGTGAAATCCAGGCGTCTGGACACCACTTCACCTTTCGACC